GGGGATGGAACTTTGGGTGTGCTCAACCACTCGACTCTGGGGCTGCAGGCCCTGGGAGGGTGTACCCCCCACCAGAGAACCCCAAAGGGTGACCCCTCTCTCTGGGGGTCTTTGGACGGGGTATGCTCCCCCAGGACCTGCCACGTCGAGGCCAAGCAGTTCCAAGTTTTGGGTTCCTAACCCATCACCCTTCAGAAACCAACCCCCAGGGAGGTGACGGTGGGACAAGGACACAACTGGCCTTGGGATTCATCCCGAGGTCCCCGAAAGGACAGCCCTGCCCTTGCACCCGGCGGCTGTGCCCTGGTGTGGGGTGCTGGGCACCCCCGAGACAGGGGTGCCGGGGTGAGCCGCAGCCTCCCCGTGGTGACAGCTGAGGATTTAGTGCTCTCTGAAGGAAATTGAATTTGGTGTCTCTGTTGAACACAGCCAGGGAGAATGCTCTCGTATATCCTCGGGATTTATGGCTCTCCCGGGGCGCTCGCCATGCTGGGTGTAATTCTGCCACGTCGCTCCTGGGGGTGGGCAGCCCCATGGGGAGCTCGGCCTGGTGGCCAGACAGACCCCCCTGGGCAGCCCCTCAGCCTCTCCAGGTCCCCCCGTGTCTCTCATGCCATTGGGAACCCCAAGCCACGGGGTAGGATGTCCCCGGGGAGGATCCGAGTGTCCCTGGCTGCGCTGGTGGTGCTGGTGAGGAGCCTCACAGGGTTACCATTGGTTAAGGCAACACTCGGTAAATTTGGGTCTGTTTTTACAGCACAATCAGTGTCACAGTAGCCTGTGCTCCCTGCTGGGGCTGGGCTGTCCCCGTCCTGTGTTCCACCCTTGTGCCTGGAGTATGGCTGGGGGCTCCCTGCCAGTGCCAGGTGTCCCCATGTCACCTCCTCTCTATCCCCTGGGGACATTGCCACGCTTGGCTGGCAGTGCCAGGCAGCTCAGTGAGGCACTTGTGCCACACCTGGCTCCTCTCCTGCCTGTCACAGCAGCGGGGTCCCCATGGTGTTTCTGGGGGTCGTATCATCAGTGGTGCCCAGGGGATCCCCTGCTGTCTCCCACAGCACATCCACTGGCAGCAGCGGCTGTGCCGTGCCTGGAGTGGATCTGTGGGAACTCACCAGCATCCTGCACCCGGGTTTGGGGACAAGGGACCCCGCTGGAGGACAGGAGGTGGCCTGGGGGCTGTGGGGGAGGCCAGGGAAGGCATCCCCCTGTGCCTGCAGCCGCGTCCCCCGCCGAGCCCTCCACATGCCAGTTAATTTCACGCCAAGTGCTCTTGATGGATCACTTGTTATTTTTGGTGAGCCGAGCCATAAATTTGTGCCACCTCACTGCAGCAAGCTGATAAGTGGGGATGGGAGAGCACCTCTGCCTGGCACGGCGGGGGTACGGGCACCCCGGCTGCACCAGGGCTGTGCCACTCGGGGCTGTGCTCCAGCTGCAGCCCCTGCGACTGGGGGTGACGCTTCTGGGGGAGCCGTGACACGTGTTTGGGGGGGTCTGTGAACGTGCTCAGCTGTGCTCAACCATCTCTTGCCCTCAGGGATGCCACACAGTGCTCAGCGTGGGGCCAAGCATCCCTGTATCCTCCTGCAATGTCCCTTGACCCAGAGTGGCCTGTCCCCATCCCTGTCCCCTGCCCGCTCTCACTGGAGCACTTCCCTCTTCCAGGCAATGCGGTCGAGGAGAACCAGAAGGTGAAGACCCAGTGGCCACGGTCAGCAGATGAACCAGGTGTCTACATGGCCCAGACAGGTACCAGCACTGCCCCAGCATGGGGACGGGCAGGGGGCACTGGTGACACTGGGCTCAGGTTCCCCGGGCAGAGGTGATGGAGATGGAGCGGCTCCCTTTAACTTCCTGCCCACGGACTGACTTAATTTGCTCCATTTATAAATTTTTTCCCTTTGCACCTTCCTCTGAGGGTTGTAAAGCAAACAAAAATCCATTAATTGTTTCGTTCAAATGTGTTTATTTGGCAAATCCATCTGGGTGGTTTGAGTGTGCTGCTCCCCCCTCCTCAGCCCCCCCTGATTTATGGTCAGAGGGCCCGGAGGTGAGTGGGAGATGGATGGGCCACGGCTCTGCTCCGTGTGCCTGGCATGCAGATCTCCTCCCGGGTGCTCACGGGGGTCCTGCCCCCCTGGGACCTCCTGGGCAGAGCATGGGTTGACCCCAGTGGTGACTCAGTCCAGGCTTGGGGTCCCCGTGTGACACGGAGCAGCCACAGCACGTTGTCACCACCGTGGGCGACACGGAGCCTGCGTCCTGCCTGTCTGCAGGACAAATGGTCCCCTTTGGAGCCCTCCTCCATATATCCCTGTTTAATTTAAACGGATGGGCTCTGCTGTTGGCCTGTCCAAGAGCCTCAGAGACATCATCAACCTTAATAAGAGCTGGTTGTTGTAAATGTCAATGTGTGATGGGGTGGGGAGGGGGAGCCGTGGCGGGCTGCCTGCTCTGCCTGCCCTACCTGCGCTGCCTGTGCTGCCTGTGCTGCCCACGTTGCCAGCCCTGCCCTTGCTGTCTGCACTGCCAGCGCTGCCTGTGCTGCCTGCCCTGCCCGCCCTGCCTGCACCACCTGGGGTAGATGCTCTCCCTCACACAGAGTGTGATTCCACGCCCCAGTCCCATCTGCAGACGCAGCTGGTGCTGTGCCCAGAGGGCAGGGCGGGCTCCTTCACCCCGCTGACATCCTCAGTGTCACCCCTGTCACCCACAGCACCTCCTCCTTATCCCTGCGCTCCCCAGCGCTGCCCAACCTCCTTCCCCGTGCCCCCCTCGGCGGGTTCTCAGTCTCCCTGTCTCCCTCCCGCAGGGGACCCGGCGGCGGAGGAGTGGTCTCAGTGGAGCGTGTGCTCTCTGACGTGCGGGCAGGGCTCCCAGGTGCGGACGCGCTCCTGCGTGTCCTCCCCGTACGGGACGCTGTGCTCCGGGCTGCTCCGGGAGACGCGCGCCTGCAACAACACCGCCACCTGCCCAGGTACGGGGGGCACGGCGGGCACCGGGGGGGGGCTCCGCCGCCGCCTCGGGGTGCCCAGAGGGGATGTTGTGTTGCTGGAGCGTCTCCGGGGCTCTCGGAGGTGTGGGGTGGATGAGGAGGGCGGCTCGGCGCGGTCGCAGTGCCCACCCCGCGCTGGGCTGCTCGGAGCTCTGTTGGCGTCCCTCCATCCTCCGGCCTTCCCGCCTGCTCTTGGGAGGCGTCTGGAATGGGTGCCCTGCACCCTTGTGCCTTGTCACTGGTGCTGCTGCTGTGGATTTGCCTTTGGAGCAGGTTGGCTGGTGGCCCCTCTCCGCCCTCCCTCCTGGCTAACTCAGGGCTTTCCCCTGGATGTCCCCGAGGTTTTGTGCTGGGGAGAAAGGAAAGGCTGGAGCCTGCGCCTGGGGGACTCGAGGTCTGGCCTGGTCTGCTGGGGGGTCCCCATTTGCGTGGGGCAGGAGGGGGCTGAGCTGCTCCATGCATCGAGGCAGGTCACAGGCAGGACGCTGAGGGTCTCACGTTGGTCCGTGGTGGTGTCTGTGCGTCTCGTGTGGGATGTTGGGAACCTGAGGGACCTCAGGGCACTGCAGTGGCAACCAGACTGCCCTGACCAAACCTGGGATGTTTCAAGGGATCTGCCTCCCCAACACACCTAGTGCCCAGTTCCCCTCCATCCCAGGGAGTGCAGCCCTGTCCCGGCATCAGAAGTCATGGAAGAGCATCCTTTAGGATGCTCCTGTGCCACACTGGTCCCTGCTCCTTTCCTGGGTGTGCTCAGCTCCCGTAGGTGCGAGGGGCAGGTCGTGCTCGGTGTGTTGAACGTGGTTTGGGGTGAACCGGGCTGTGTGTGGGCAGGGGGGACGTGTGCCGCCGGTGCCAGGACCCCGGAAGGGAGGCTGGAGCAGGGCAGGGAGTGGCAGCGGCACCGCTGCCGGCTCAGGGACTTGAGGTGATGGCAGGACAGGCGGTGCCAGGGACCGTGCCCGACTGCACCACGGGGCACGAGGGGTCTGCCATGGGCAGGACCCCTCTGTGGCAGGAGGCAGAGGGGGAGGCTGGAGCCCGGCAGAGGTGGTGCTGTGCTGTGTTGCAGTTCCCAGTGCGTGGCAGGAGTGGTCCCCGTGGAGCCTGTGCTCGGTGACCTGCGGGCGAGGGGCCAGGACCAGGACGCGGCCGTGCGTGGCCTCGCGGCGCGGAGGGAAGGCCTGCGAGGGCCCCGAGCTGCAGGCCAAGCCCTGCTATATCGCGATCTGCCCGGGTCAGTACCTCCCTCCCTCTCCCCACGCTCCTTCTTCCCGCCGGGAATGCCAGGACACGGCACCGG